TCAGAGCCATGAATGGCACAAATGGGAGATAAGCCGATATTAGGCTTGGAGGTAGCTTCGTTTGCGTCAGGAGCTTTTTACTTGTATGACCCTGAAAAAAATGCATTATCCTTGTATGGCTTTTTTTTTAACTTACCCGTATGGCCTTGAAATGAAATTTTCATCTTTATACGGCCTTCTGTCCGTTTTTTGCACTTGATGGTGCTAAGTCCATGGTAAAATGACCATTATACCCCTATAGGCGAAAAAAATGCAGTTTTGTTTGTTTGTTGTACATTTGGAGTAATATTATGCAAATAAGTTCATATATAACAGTACATAATAAGACACGTAAACAAGTACATAAATATATTGCAATAAATTGAGCTTATCAAATGCATTAAAATTTGCACAAATGGCATATAAACACCGGGCTGGGAATATGAAGAGCGAGCTATGGCCAACTTAAAACTTCAATCATTTCTATTTGTTCGAGAGGATAAAAAAGAGATGTGATACATCTCTAATAATAGTCTAAATTATCCACAAATCTCATATTAATCTCTACTCAACCACGGCCCATCAGTACAGTTTAGCATTAAGCATGGAAAAGGGGCAGTGTTGTCAGAGGACAACAGCTTCTTGCCAAAAATTTCTTATCCGCTTAACTTGGTAGTGCTTTTATGGCCCCCAAACCTATCAAAATGTGGACCGATACGAACAACCAGATGATTTAAGATGGTTCCATGGAATTTGTGACAAGTAAATAATCTAAAGTTTGCTGAGTGCAGACATAGTACATTCCTCTTAATACACGAATATATAAAACTGAACTCACTGATACGCACCATACCATGAGCTCTCCAAAACAATTCAATTGTACTGCAAACTTATCATCCACGGACATTGCAATTCATAGTACAAGATGGCAATTGCTGAGCACAATGGGAGTGACATGTCGACGAGGTCCCATTGGGGAGGCAGATGCAGTTGAAGTGAAGGCTCTACTGGTACTCAGTGCTCCCGCATGAACCTGTCGATGCTCGTAGAGCTGCTGACGCATTTGCCTCCTTCGAAGGATGCGTACGTGCCAGGCTGCTCGCTGGTGGCGGCCGCGCCGGGCTTGCCGCTGGAGTTGGCGGTCGCGCTGGGCTGCTCGCAAGAGAGGCCGGCCGTGCCGGGCTGGCCGCTGGAGGTGGCGGCAGCCCCAGCCGCGCGCGCTGCACGAGCCAGGCGGCGGCGGCGCCTCCCCCACGGCGAGCAACGACGGGAGTGGGGCCAGGCTGTAACACCCCAAAACTTCACCTACCTAAGATGCCACCACAAAAGCTTGAACCTAAAACAAACCACAATAATTTTGGCAACATCTCCCCTTAAAACAGGAGTAACGCGGAAGCAACAACATTAAGTGCCCTATAGTCCACACAGGGCCTTTTTGTGCCATCTTTCTTCTCGGCAAACAAAACAGGGGCAGCCCAAGGAGATGTGCTTGGACGAATAAAACCCTTAGCAAGAAGGTCATCCAACTGCTTCTTTGACTCCACTTGCTCAAGAGGAGCCATCTTGTATGGTGTCTTGTAAATAGGTTGTGTACCAGGAATCAACTTGATCTCAAAAATTGGCTCCCTCTCCAGAGGCAAACCAGAGAGTTCATCAGGAAAAACATCAGGATAGCGGTACACAATAGGAATATCCTCCACTCGCGAGGAAGCACCACGATCATCAACCATAGCAAAAAGAATGCCAGACTTCCGTGTCCTACGGTCAGGCATCAAGTGACATAGTAAAGAGAGTGTATTTCAAACCACTCCCCTGAAATACTACCTCTCGACCTGATGGTGCTTGTAAAGAGATCGTCTTGCAGAAGCAAGACATAACAGCTTTATATTGATAAAAGCCAATCCATTCCAAGAATCACATCAAACACTTCTAATGGAATGACCACTAGGTTAGCAACAAAATCTTCATCCGCAAGAGAAACAACACAACCAGGACAGACAAAAGAACTAGAAATAGGCCCTCTTGCAGAACTAACCATAACAGCTTCCCCAATCATTTGCATAGCTAGACCTGTATGACCAACAAAAACTTCCGAGACAAATGAGAAACTAGCTCCGGAATAAAAAAGAGCACGTGCAACAAAAGAATCAACTGAAATGATACCTGTCACCACATCCCCAGGGTCTCTGCTATCAACTGAAGGCATAGCATAAACCCCCGGAGCACCAGTCGAAGAAGAGGCTCCCACTGTAGGATCAGTCGGTGTAGGAACCCAAGGGAATATGGGTGTCGAAGGAGTGGTAGCATTGGGCAACCAGTAAGCCCCAGACTGTGGTACAGGGACCGGTGAAGTAGCTGGAGGTGGCAACAAATATTGTGGTGTGGGAGCAAGCAAGCAATGTTGTGTAGGCGGCACAGTAAGGTGAGCAGAAGGCGGCACTGCCATCATCTGAACTGTCCCACTAGAAGCTGATGAAGAAGTCACTGGCTCCCATCGAAGCTTAGCGTTAGGATTCTTCCTAGAAACCACGTTCTTGTGGTCTTGTCCACAAATAGAGCACTTGCCAGACCATTGACACTCCTTGAGACGATGTGGATTGTTGGAGGTACAGAGTGTTTTTACTCAGTCAGGGATGACACACCCAGGCGACTGCTCTTTCATATATAGGAGATAAGTAGCACATTGATTACATTGATGGCTCATTAGAGCATTAACTAAACAGCTAACTGCCTGGGTACTTGCACAGTCACTTGTGCTGCCCAAGGCCTTAATAGCAGAAACATAATTAAGCACAGATAACTAAGTGATAACTGGGAGCAGGACTTAACTTCTACATGGATCACCACACCTATAGCACACCATCCCCATGCCTTATTTGGGGACGGCTCGGTATTGAGGTGTAGGTGTATTCCCTCCTGAAGCATGGGACTGAGGAGTGCTACCACGGTAAGCCTGACGACGTTGAAACTTCCCTTTCTTGTGACTAGGACTATCAGAATGACCCTTTTTATCTCCCTGACTCCGAGACTGCTCACCACCTGAGGACTTGTTAAGGTCAGCGGTGTACATAAGCTGCATCTCAACTCCTAAAGCTTGCTCCACCATAGAGCGGAAGTCTGTGATAGCTAGTAAAAGCACCAAGCACATGGCGAATTGCAGGCCTAAGGCCCTGACGGAACTGCCTGGCCTTCTCTACCTCATCATGGGCCACATGTGGAACAAAGCGAATAATTTGGTTGAAGCCAACCTCACACTCAGCCGCTGCCTTCTTATCCTGAGCATAGTTGTTTAGATCAAGCTTCATCTTGTCTAGGAAGGTTGCAGGGTAGAACCTCCTCTCAAATTGTTTAACAAACTCTGACCAAGTCAAAGGACCATGTGTAGCAGTGCGAGCAGACTGCACACCCTTCCACCAGATTTGTGCCTCACCCTTCAGTAGTTGTGTGCCATAGCGAACACGGTCCTGATCCAACACCTCAAAAGCATCCATCTTATCCTCAACATATGATAGCCAATCAGCAGCCTGAACTGGAGTGCAACTGCCATCAAAACTATCCAGCTTCATACACACCCACTCTTTTAGTGAGACCGCACTCTTAGGACCATCAGTGGTAGGGTCATCCTGACCCACAACAGCAGCTGCACTAGCACCAGGGGTAGCTTGTGTAGCACCCCCACGAGTAGCCTGTCTCAACGTCCTCAACTCATTTTGCATTTCCCGCATTGTAGCCAGCAACTCAGCCTCACTATTGCCCTCTGCCCGGGCCTTGTCCTTTGGCTGTGACCGGCCTCGCTTCTTTGGTGGCATAGCTGCAGCCACCACAAGAGACAAAAAACAAAAGATCAATACCAACATTCTAAAATGAAAGGGATAACCTAAAACAACAAGCATGGAACAAACATATACACCCTTACCCCACCTATATGTGCAAGTGTGTACACAAGCTCTGATTACCAACTGTAACACCCAAAAACTCCACCTACCTAAGATGCCACCACAAAAGCTTGAACCTAGAGCAAACCACAATAATTTTGGCAGCATTTCCCCTTAAAACAGGAGTAACGCGGAAGCAACAACATAAAGAGATAATATAAGTAAGCTCAACAACAAGATATAGCATCCTAATTAGCAGGTCATCAACAATCAGGGTCTAGAAGGACTACCCAAGAACAACCACGAGCCAAAGTTAAGGATACCCAATTAACAGAGACTTCAAGTTCTAGTACTATTATTATTACAGCATAAGTTTTTCACATTAAAAGATGACATGAATGTGCTGAGTGTGCTGCTACTTTCCCACCCTTCAAGCAAAATCCACCTGAGTGCCTGGAAAGATAGAAAGGGGTGTGAGATATAAAAATCTCAGCAAGTAAACTGCTTTAACAAGCTATTTAAACTACATGTTTATTAAGCATTGATTTAATCTTCAATTATATGCAAACCAACAGTAGGCAATGAGATAATTCCAAAGAGTGATACAACATCAATTAAGATAAAAATCAACCATCACCAAACCTTGGAGAAGCATGGCTTCTCACAAACTCTCCCAAAGCCTTAGTCCAAGCCACATATGCCATAGTCCAAATTTATAATGCATATGCAATGCAAATGCCATGTCTCCTGCCTTCATACCCAACAAGGTATGAAGCCGTATCGTTATGCCCAATAAACGATGCTGTACCGGTACGGTCGCAGCTAGCAGCGGCGACATAACTCCATATGCCAATGCAGGAATGGGATGCAATGCAATGTTATAGAAGAAAAGATATACCACATATAACTTCATGAGTGTCTCACCATAGAGACATCAAGCCACATTCCATTACATGAGCTTCATCAACCAATAGTAATGAATATAAGTATTCACATAGAAAGCATAGAGGACAAGTCAAAAGAATGAAACATGGTTTGAAAGGCCATAGTGTATTAGATGTGGTTCTGAATTTTAAGGTGGAGGTAGAGTAAATAACAAGTTAAAGCAGCAAACCACCGCTACGTTTACTTGCTTCCAATGAAGTGATGATCGCTCTATGTGCGATCCGAAGCACTGCCACCTGCTTAATAAGTATTATAATATCAGAGAGAACTCATTTTAAAAAAATACAAACAGTAGGGAAAGCACTCGTAGGCCCTGTTCGCTTCGCTGAAAAAACAAGCCGAAACATTGTTCCGGCTGAAAAAACAAGCTGAAAAGTACAGATTATAAGAGAAGCGAACAGGGCCATACTCTCTAGCCCGACATACAAGCCAAACAGCATACAAAGCGCCAAGTCAAATGCAGCACTACTGCTTCACCTTTTTATATCTTTTAATCCATAAAGGATATGATGGCAACCAAAACCATTTTCAGAACCTACAGACCAATATCTACAACTTTCATAAAGGAGATATATTTTTACCATGCCTTTAAGATAGCCTAATCCACAGAGCTTCACATTTTCATATACCTAAAAATTATAAAATTCCATATCCTACAACTTTGGTATTACTAAAATTTGCAGAAAGAACCAATTAAATGGACCTAAGCAAGACCCAATCTTAACTGAAAATCCTGCTGAGAAAACAATACCTTGATCTTAGAAAAATCTATATCTAGAGTTTCCCTTATCCAAAAATCATGATTCTTACCAATCTGGAAAGCTACCGGAAAGTACTACAAGTCTCTTATAATTTGTAAGGTCCCATCATGCCTCTAAGTCTCAGAACATGACATCTAACTTAGAAAAATCATCTCTCTCAAACCTTTGGGGATCAAATCATGAAACTTCATGAGCTAATAGATCTGAAGCTCCTCTACAACTTTCCTATTATCCACATTCGGAGAAAAAGATATTTAGGTCACGGAAACTACAGTAACAGCTACAGTTCTCAACTATCATGCGGCAGAATCCAAGAGTTGATTCCCAAAGGTGATTTCTCCCTCAATACAACTAATACCAAGACCAAAGACCATCCAAACCATCTCAATCAGAGGACCCAAAGGGAAAATCTTCTCACCTTGGTTATCCCCAAGCTAGGGCAGCAAGAAACAAATGGGGAAAAGTCGATCTACACCATGTTGCAGCCCTAATCGATCCTCTCCTCGTCCTCTTTCCCTTGGTTCTTACTGGTTTGGGGAAGGTGCTAGAGAGGGAGAGGGCGCAGGGAAGACGGGTGGAGGCGTTTCTGGAAGGGAGGAGCACGAACAGGAGGAGGGAGAGCGGCTGATTGGGGAGGAACGTGGCTTCTAAAGTTGGGGGCGACTTGGGCTTGGGGGTGGTGGTGGGCTGGCTGGGCCTTTGCCATTCTAACCCATTTCTTTCAGTTTTTTTTTTATGTATTACACGGGCGGAGCCGGAGCCGGAGATCCCGACAGCGGCGGCGTCGGTGCCCTCCCCCATCTTTAAGCCTGGGCATTCAGTTGCTCGGTTCGGTTCTTCGGTTATCGATGTACAAGTCCTTTGCGTGATGTGAATTTTTCAAAAAGACCCTAACCCACCACATTCAATGAGGAGAGGAGGCGCTACTCGTTGCCTTGCGAGGCGATGATGAGTGTGCATGCTCCGAGATATGGCGCCGGCTGGATGTCGCTTTGTATTGGGAGGGCTCCTCCAGTCAACGAGCTCACAAATCTAGTGCAGGCATGTGCGGTGGAAGCCGGGCGCGAACGAGATGGATTTTTCTGTGCCAAATCCACCGTCGTCTCCATAGGTGATCTTCCCTCTCCACGGCCCCTTCCTCGTCCGCGACATGGAGGACTTGAGTGTGGCACGGGCTTCGGGGCGGAAGAGCTAGGGCCTTTCAGGTTTACGTAGTTTCAGCCTTTCAGGTCAACGCAATGCAAGTATGTAGACAATTTCAGGAAAAAAGAAGCTGCTGTGCGTAGCATCGATCGAATAGTTTTGAGCCATTTGCAGACAAGCCTATTCGCTCTGAATAACTAATTAACGAGTAAAGTTACATGGTAATGTGGATGCACACAACTATCTTAAGTCACAATTGGTTGATTTGAGGCATGAGTAGTAGTGTAAGATGCTAATTGCCTCCCTATATAGTACATGTAGATTATTTTGCTGCAGAGCATAACCTGTTTCAGTAATCTTTGTCAAATGATTGTAACTGAACATGGGTCCATGAAGATTACTGGTTTGCGCTCATGCGGTCTCCCAGTCGAGGGAATGAAAAAGGAAACGACAAGATGCAAGTTGTGATTTCTTACCATGTTTTCGTTACCGTTGCCAAGACTACTGAAGAGGCTGGCACGGCGCTGCCGAACGTTGTGGACCAGGGGCACGCAGAGCCAATCGCGCGGGAGCAGGCAGCGCTGTTAGCGCGTCCCCAACAGCTATTTAGCTAGCTATTTTGATGTGAATAGAAAAAAAACATGAGAGGGTAGTCACTAGCAACGAATAAATAACTGATCTATTTCGTGTAGTCAAAAAATCTATGAGAAAGGCATGTGAGTCTAATAGTATATAGAAAAATAAAAATATATAAAATAATCTTTGTTTTTGTCTTCCCCTTCACGTGAGCTAGCTAAGTAGCTAGCACGACGCCTTAGAGGTTAGAGCTGGCGGCACAAACCGCTCCGCAAGCCGGGGCCCACCAGCCAGCATCAGCTGCGCAGGCCATCGTCGACCACACCACGCAGGTACAACAGCTGGAAAGCAGGAGAGGCAGCCTGCCAGGCCACACAGCTCCCGAAGAGGAAACGCTGTGCGCCGATAACCACGGCCACCCGGGGGATGCCGACACAGCGCGCCCAGTCACCGAAGACCCCATGGTTTTCGAGGTAGCCATCGGCTAGGCGCCGCTGCACTCGGCGGACGCCGCACCGGATCGACGCGACAGCCGGTCAAACGCCTCCTTCACCAACGACGCCAACATCGTCGACGGAACGCAGCCACCTCAGATTTTTGCAGCAGTTGTTGGGCCGCAAAGCTCAGCAAGTCCCGAGACCGCAGCTACAAACGACGCAGCCCACAGCACGAAGAAAGGCCCGGTCAGCCCAAACATCGACCGGGCAAGCATAGAGGGGGCCGCTCCAGCATCCACCGCGCTGGCAGCGGGCAACGTCTGGGTGTCGCCGATGAGGACGCCCAGCCACTCTCCTAAGCCAAGGAGGAGGGACTCCCGTCGCCATCCCTTAAGACGCCTCCCCACGACCGTCTTCAGCCGAAGACCGCACTCGACCTCAGATGAGGTCGGCCGTGGGACGCCTCAAGCACTTCACAAAGCGAATCACAAAGCAGAGACAGCCGTCTCTTCTAGAGCTGCCCGGAGATGATTCGGCCTACGGCTAATATGCAACACCCACACTCCCCACGTGAAGCAAGCGGATAGCGGCACAAAGTATATCTCATATCCCGACGTCCAAGCCAGGTGAGTTCTTTGTCATGAAGCGCCTGGGACTTACCAGTGAGATGCCATCTCCGTCGACGTCGGCTCTGAAGGCATACGAAGAAATGAAGAGCGGTGACCCCGCTCATATGCAGGCGTTGCGTGAGTTGTTTCCAGCGGACGACGAGGTGGGCGCGTGCAAGCAACGCCGCCGCCAGGCAGCCCGGACATAGGTCTCCTAGCTGGCGCCACAACTTGGGTTGAACTCTGTCCAATGTAATAGCATAGTTTGCAGTACACTAGGGCTAGTCGTCCGAGCATTCATGTACAACTTATTGACCCCCCTAAGGTGCCGCTAAGGCGTGTTTTATCGAATATTTTCTTTACCTTAATACAAAGACACAAATTTTTGTGTATTCGAGAAAAAAAAACAAATCACGTAATTTCTCACCATGTTTATGTTAGCGCCGTTTATCCATTCCTTTGCGTTTGTGTCAACCAAACACTATCTAACTTCAGTAAGCTAGCTAGCGGCGGCGGATCCAGGAAAAATTTTAGGGGGGGCTAAACAAAAGTGCGACAGCAACATACCTCCGACTACTGCTCGATCTTAAGTCTCAGCCCCACCTACACAATAAAACTTTGCCTAAAAATTCATGGGAGCTCCAGGGCTCCGGTATTGGTAGAAGGGGCTTGAGCCCCCCGCCCCACCGTTGAATCCGCCGCTGCTAGCTAGTATATCTAGCCCGTTATTCTAAATGCTGACATGTTTAGATGTTCCGTGTTATTCTACTATTTTTTGTAGGTAACAGGATTTGTTTCGACTTTTTATGGAAATGCTTTGAGCCTATGTAATCTATGTGATAGAGCTGATGCTCAGATCGAGCTTTAACTAAATGATAGCTTCTGCAAATTAAGTTAGGTTATCAGCAGATTCAGCAAGAGGCCTCCTGTCTTGTAATTCTTTCTATAATCGTTATAGGAAAGCAGCATGCTGCCTTGTTAAGTGTGCAGGGGACGATGCCATTCTTGATCCAATTTTTTTGGTTCTGATTGGATTGGGTCTGGTCGTTCCAAACATCAGGCTGAAATTTCAAGTGTATAGATATTTGCCCTTTTCATACTAAAACTGTTATGGAGACTTGTGATTATGAAATGCCACAGCTTCACCTGGTACCTAAGGCTAATGAAAAATACACTATGTCCGTGGCGTGCTTCAACCTAACATTAGAAGAAAAGAGAGCTATATGCACTTTCCTGAGGGGGTCAAAGTCCCGACTGGGTTTTCAGCGAATGTGAAGAAGCTAGTGTCGATGAAGGACTTGTCAATAACACACTGCAAGGCTCACAATTGTCATGTGATGCTGAGAGTGTTTCTACCTATTGCAATAAGGGCTATAAAGCCAGAGTTCTTGAAAGTGGCCATCACCCGCATGTGCTACTTCTTTTCAAAGATCTCATAGAAGACGATTGGCAAGCAAAAGCTGAGTGACCTACATGAATTTATGGTGCAGACACAAAACCAACTAGAGATGTGTTTACCTCCTTTTTTATATAATGCCACATCTCATGATTCACATGGTTCATCAGATACAGGCGCTGGGCCCTTACTTGCATGAAATGTGGTCCTACGAGCGGTTCATGTCGGTTCTAAGCTGATACGTGCATAATCGAGCATACCCAGAGGGCTCCATGATAGAGGGTTACAATACTAAAGAAGTCGTCGAGTGCTGTCAAGAGTATCTAAAAGTACAGAAAGGGATTGGTAAACCTGATTTTCGTCACAAGGGTAGGCTGGCTAGGAAGGGCACCAGTGGTAGAAAAGTATTCATCGATCATGATTACAAAGAGGTGAGTCGAGCGCATTACAGTGTCTTGCAGAGTACACAACCGATGCAACCGTACATTGATGAACACTTGGCTATCATTATGGCGGAGAGAAATGGTCGTTCAGATGATTGGGTCATGAAACATCACAAGCAACGACTAACTACATGGTTGAAGGACCAAAACATACGACCTGGAGAAACCATAGACTCTATTACCATCAGTAGGTTGGCGGAGGGACCATTGAGACAAGTGACATCTTGGAAAGCTTATGACATCAATGGGTACACGTACTATACCCACACAAAGGATAGTAAATATGTGAACCAAAACAGCGGCGTTCGAATAGAAGCTCTCAATGGAGTGGGGCGAAAGATCCAATACTTTGGCATCATTGAAGAGATATGTGAACTTGACTATGGAAGAGATATAACGGTGGCTCTGTTTCGATGCCGCTAGATCAAACAAGACCAACTGAACGAGATAGGATTGAGGGTCCTGGACCTCGAGAATCTAGGTTACCAAGATGACCCTTGGGTGCTCGCTTCATGTGTCGCACAAATTTTCTATATGCCTGACTTACAAAGTAACCTCCCCGTGAAGAAGAAGACAAAGCACGTGGTTGCCTCCGGGAACCAGCACATTATTGGAGTTGATGGCATGGACGATGTTGAAGCTTACAATAACTACGATGAGATGCCGCTATTCACAGACTTTCCTAAGAAGATCAGTGTTGTGGAAAAGAACCTGCCCAAAGACATATTGCCATGGGAACGAAAATGTGTTAAAGGAAAAGTCGTTACAGCAGGCTAGCTAGTTGTTGAACGTGGAATGTTTGTGTAAGAGTGTGTGTTTGTAAGACTTCATTTATGCATGCGTGTGAGACTATATATTTATGTATGTGTGTGAGACTACATTTATGCATGTGTGTGAGACTACCCTTTGCAACATCTAGATAAATCTATTTCAACATTCACTCTATTACTACTAAAACTTTATGAAATCACTTAACATTTTATGAAATGAAGAAATGACCAAAATAAAAGTTGGAGATCTTGACGAGTTATACAACTTTTATATTCATCACCTTTACAGCTAAAATCATTTATTGGTTGAAAATCAGGTTTGAAGTTGTCATTTTCTGAAATTTAAAATTTGAATTGTCTAAAATTAGTGATAAAGATAGATGACCAGACTAAAATGATAGAGCATGATTTTAGAAAATTTTAGAAAA